AGTTTGGACGCGTCCAATCTCGGATCCGACATTCGCCTAGGCCAATCTTAGATTGGACGTAATCTCAGTTTGGACGCTGACATATATATGACAGATAAACTGATATTCCCTTTTTATTAGCACACTTTTCTGTTCTTTTGAAAATGTTTTTCTCTTGGATGTGAGTCTTCAGTTTAAAATGTTTCGTGAAAAAGTCATTTAATTGATATGAATTTAAGTTTAAATAAAATTGAAAAGGATCTTTGTATTCGTCTTGTTGAATTAAAATGTCAAAGTAATATTATTCAACAAATTCGTTCAAATCAACAAAATCATTTAATTTCATTAAATGAAAAATTTCAACGATGAGTAAGTTATATAGAAAAAAAAACTTTTTGTTTCTAATAAAATAAATAAAAAATAATTTTTAGGAAAAATTAATTGATATACTTGAAACAAAAGAAAATTTAACAATTGATTCGAAAGAATTATTAATAATATTAAATAATTTTCATAATGATCGAATTATAATTAAAAATTCTCTTAATAAACATCAAGTTCAACGTGAAATGTTATGTTTAAGAAAAGGTTGTGAAGCATATAGAGAAATAGCTAAACATTTATCACAACTCTATATATTATTAAGAGATTCTAATATTGAGTTAAAAATTTCAATAAAATGGTTTATGCAAATTGTAACAAATAATTTATCATGAAGAATTGAATTTAGATATAATTAGTAAAGTTCAAGCAAGAAAAACTTATCTTTGTTGTTTTGAATCAATTTATTCTTATCTTCATGATAAATCGTTCTCATCTATTGATGACGTTTATCGATTTATGAGTAGTGAGATTCTTAAATCGATGAATAATATAATCCTTGATTGAACAAGTTAACAATAATATGATTGTTCATTAATAAAAATTATTCAATAAATTTTAGATTCATCTGCTTTTGTTGATTCAATTGATGAAATTCGAACTTTAGCAAATAAAATGAAACAATCTCTTTGATTTGTTTTATCAATTGATAAAAAACGTCTTAATCATTTTATTAAAAGTAAAAAGATTGTTAGTTATTTATAACAGATATAATTTTATTTAATGATGATCTTTTACAAATTCGAGTAAAAATAAATTGAAAAATAAAATAAATTTTTTCAAATTAATTATTCTATTTTAGGATTTTATTTTATCATCAATTGATGATAAAATTTGGCTTATTTGTAATCCTTCATATGCATCTAAAGTATCGCGTAAGTTTTGACATAAAACATTTTTTAGAAATTAATTTCGATTTATTTTATTGAAAGTATGGTTAATTCAACGGTGTTTACAAGTTTATTGAAGCCATTCAACGTAATCATCTCTTCATCTTCGTTTTACAACAAAAACTTTTATCAAAAAAAATTTACAAATTTATAAAAATAAATTGAACAAATTCTTAAGATTCATAGTTATCTTATCATAAAAAAGTTTTTTTTTCAAATAATTCAATGAAGTAATTTCTATTTAAATATGTTTGTTTTTAAATGTTTTTTCGTTTTTGTTTTTAATTAAATAGTTTTTATTGAAAATGACTTTTATATTGATTTAAAATATTGTTTTTTGATACAAATCAAATGAATATGATTGATTATAGAAATTATATTCAATATGAAAATGAACAAATATTGATTAATTATATAAAACCAGTAAATTATATTTTATTTCTGATTTGGGGGTGGGTGTGGGTGTGGGTATGGGTGGGTGTGAGGTGTGGGTGTTGGATTTGGGTGTGTGGGTGTGGGTGTGGCATACAATGGGCTATTTAATTTCAGTCTGAATTTATCAAATAAAAATAATACTTGATTTCAAACTGAAACGTGAGTCTAGGAGTGAGGGGAGGGGGTGACTGAGGGTGTGGGTGTTGGTCTGGGACCCACACACACACCCACACCCATGGTGCGGGTGTGGGCGCGCGAGTGAGGGTGAGGGTGTGCTTGTGATTTTGTGTACTATAGGCTTTAGTCCCCTGCACAGGGGACTAAGCGGGGACTAAGCTTTTTGTGGGGGGAACTAAGGGGGACTTTGCAGGACTAGGGGGAACTAAGGGTTTTTAGTGAGACTACGTAGTATCAAGCGAGAAAAGTTTGATTCGGAAGAAATTGGTGTGGTTTTTTTGATTTTAGAATTCAGTTTGAAATAAAAAAGCCCATAGACTCGGGTGTGGGGTGTGGGTGTGGGTGTGGGTGTGGATGTGGGTGTGGGTGTGGGTGTGGGTATGGGTGGGTGTGAGTGAGTGTGGGTATGGGTGTGGGTGCGGGAGGTTCTTCTCCGCTTCACTCACAGACACCCACACCCACACCCCACACCCACACCCCACACCCACACACCACCCACCCCCCCCCCCCCACACCCACACCCCACCCCCAGTCACACCCCACACCCTCAGTGTAAGGTCGAGTAATCATGAATTTGTTTTTGAATAGTAAAATAAGTTAGAAGTAAAGTTGGTATTTTATCATTCAAATATGAATAAGTTCAAGATCGGAGTCATTACAATCACCTCTAAGAATCGTATTTAATACCCTAACAATAAAGAAAGACATCATAATTTTTTTTAAATAATCTTTAAAATAAAAAAAAAGTTCAGCTGTAGCTTATATCAGGATATATTGTTATTGTTGTTCTATAGCTAGAATACTCTTGTTTTTGAGAATGCCTTGAATATTTTATTGCTGATATATAATTATTTTTGTCTATTCAGTAACTTTTTAACGGTTAAATGCCCTCAAATACAACTCATTATAAACATGAAAGAATTTTTAATTGGATACATAGAAATCTTCATCAGACAACTTTTATCTGCCATGTTCAATGAAAGTATCAAAGAGAAAATTAATTTGAAGAAGACAAAATATTATTTGCATTCAACTGAGAAAAAGAAAACACCAGGAAAGTCAGAAGAATATGTCATTATGAAAATAATACTATTAAGAAATGTAAAGAATCAGTTACAAATAACAGTAAGATAGAAAAACAAATATTGAAAAATCTTCGTTTCAATTGGCTCGAACAAGCTGAGATTTTCATAAATTGCAAATAGATTTGTTAACACTCTTCATTTTTCATACTTAAATATCTATGAAAATTTGGATATTAGAGTTCACAATACAAATAAATTACAAAACAATTCACAATTTTCATTATCCACATTCCTTATATTGATACATGTATACGTAGACATCTGTTTTTACATTGACATACACATGCATGTGTTTATATATATATATATGCTCCATTCCAAAGGAGAGAACAAGACATTCTAGCGTCTGTTACGGTCTCGCGACAATCATATCAAGAGGAACGTATTGTTAGTTGTGTCGCAATATCCACACTGAGTCCCTGCTAGATAATAATAAACTTATTATAATTATACACACACATTTCTGCAAATAAATATATATATATATAATGCTGAATTTTTCAATTATTTTGTAATTCATTTGCATCACTGAGTGGGATATGAATAACTTCTAAGTATTACCTAAGGTAACAATCAGAAAAAAGAATCTAAAACAAATTATAAACAAGCACATAGCAACATTCTCAATATGATGTAATGATAATTATACTATTATTGTCGTTTGTCTTCGTTCTGTTCTACCTTATCTATTTCTTTCGTACGTCTTGATTCACACAGATCATTATAAACATGTGT